TATTTTAGGAATACATCCAAGAGACTTTTGAAAGTACTTCTTAGGAGATTTACACACTAAAAACCACTCCATCGACGAGGGTGGGATTCGAACCCACGCGTGCAGAGCACAATGGATTAGCAGTCCATCGCCTTAACCACTCGGCCACCTCGTCTCCATGGACTAAGTCTCTGGAGCATGTCACTCCCAGATGGAGAGGCTCTTGGATGGAGAGGCTCTGGGAAGTGGCCAGGTGATGTCTGGGAGGTGGGGCCTTAGGAACAGCTTCTTTCGCTTGGCATAATAGACTAGGCCCGAAGGGAAGCAAGGACAAATCAGCTGGGACGCGATGGAAACATATGTGCAAGGCCTTCGCTCCTTACCTGCGTTCAAAAATGTTCTCTGATGATAATAAGATCAAATTAAAGTCAATAACAGAAGGAAAATTGAGAGAATCAACAATCCATGAGTATAAAAGAAATCAGAAGGGAAATATAAAAGTATTTTGGACTGAATGAAAGAACCCATAATACATCAAAATTATGGCATTTCATTAAAGCAGTACTTACACAATATTTATACCTTTAAATACCTGCATTAGAGAAGAAAGAACTCAAATGAGTAACCTAAGCTTCTATCTTAAGAACTAGAAAAAGATAAGCAAACTAAACCCAAAGCCAGTACAAGAAAGGAAAGAATAAAGACTGGAGTACAATCAATGAAATGGAAAACAGAAAAACAATAAAGAAACCCAATGAAATGAAGAGATGAGTCTTTTGAAAAGCCAGCAAGATGAGCAAAGTTTTAGTTAGACTTAACCAGAAAAGAGAGATGAGAAATCGAAGGAAACAGAGAGCATCACTACTGATCTCAAAAAAAAAAAAAAAATGAAAACATCTTAAAGGGATAAATAGTTTGGACGTCATGCTAACAAATTAGACAACTTTGATGAAATGAAAAATTTCCCAGAGCTAGGGGCTGGGAGGAGGGAAGGCAAGGGGGAAAGGGATGGGAGATATCTGTAATACTATCAATAATAAAAACATATTTTAAAAATTCCCAGAGGATGTAAATTATGGCAATGAACACAAGAAAAAAATAGAAAAGGTGGACAGACATTTTTAAAACGGAGTCCGTAATTAATATTTTGGAAAAAGAAAAGCTCAAGACTGGTGGCCTTACTAATTAAGAATTAAACATTTTAAAGAGGAAGTGTATCAATTCTTCCAAAACTCTATGAGGCAGGAAAGCACTGGGGAAGGGGTGCGCGCTCCGGTGGGACAAGATGCTCCAGTTGACGGTCGAACTTGCAACCTCAACACAACCGCGCACGC